GCCTTCCATGCATTTGGCCATATGGGAAAGTTCCTAGCAGAATTGTTCATTATTGGTTTTATGCTAGGCACATGTATTGCCTACTTTGTCGTTGTCGGTGATCTGGGGCCACAGATAATCTGCAAGATGATGAGCAAGAATCCGGCGGACATTCGCACTAGTTTGCTAATTTTCACCGGACTCTTCATAGTTTTACCCTTGGGACTGCTTCGAAATATCGATAGTTTGTCTAGCATTTGTACCGCTACCATTGTCTTTTATCTCTGTCTTGTATTAAAGGTATAATGCATGAATTACAATTTATTTATCTATATATTATCTAATATAAAACTATCATGTTCATCTAATTCAGTCACTTGCATTAAATTGGATTAGGGCACATTAAGTTATTTTATACAAAATATCTTAAAGCAGTAGCATAAGATAGCTATGTCCAAAATTATTAGAACTTTTAAAAACTTCATAGATCATCAAAACTGTAAAGGTAAACCTGTATGACATTGATCATATTTTTTTAACCATATGGCATACATGACACAATAAAACAGCTCATTTAACACAATTATGAAATAAATTTCAAAAAATATGTATCTCAATTGATTCCAAGAAATTTATCAAAAGAAAACATGATTCATCATCATTTTTAGAAAAACGCTAATTAATGGAATGCCTAAAAATTTTTGTACATGGCTGTATAATCAATTTTGACACTGAAATAATATATATATATATTCTATCAATAATGTGACATTATTATTGAATATGTAATCATTTAAAATATTTATATGCTTTTACATTTAATTTTACTAATTTCACATATAGCAGCTTTTGGTGTGTTGTTATATGTGCACTAATCTAATATAATGCAAGTAACCGAATTTGTTAAAGATACATAAGCAGTAATTAATCTATGTTTTCTTTTCTAATTGATAGATTATGGGCGAATCAACCCTACATATTTTTATGGGAGATTGGTTTAATAATATTAATTATTGGAGACCGGCTGGTATTCTCCAATGCCTGCCAATATTTTCTATGGCTCTTTTCTGTCAAACGCAGTTGTTTGAAATATACGAAACCATTCCAAATGTATCCTTAGAGAAAATGAACGACGTTGTAAGAGGAGCGTTAAATATATGTACACTTGTATATATGTGCGTTGGCTTGTTCGGTTACATTGCGTTCTGTACCCAGCCGTTCACAGGTAATTTAACAGGTGTATAATGTACAGCTTATAATGTCATTATTTGGTCTATTCTTTTCAGCTAAACTTCTCACATCGTTTAATTTTTCCTTATTTTCTCTTGAAAGAAAAGAAAGAAAAATAAATGTAAGAAGTGCAAGAATTTTAACTGAAAAGAATAGACCTCTTGTCAAATTAATACTTTATTATTGCTATTGTCATTGTTATATTTTTCAGGAAATATCTTATTGAGTTTCGAACCTAGCATAACATCAGAACTGATTAAGCTGGGATTCGTGTTTTCAGTCGCATTCAGTTTTCCTCTAGTCATATTTCCATGTCGTGCGAGTTTGAATTCGCTTTTATTTCGTCGGGTATGTGTATGCATATTTTAAATAAATCTAGAGTTTTTAGAGGTACAGGTACATACAGCTAAAAATTCTAATTTACGTTTTACTACTATGTTAGGTGTATACCCATGAACCGTCTGTCAATTATCTGCCAGAGTTCAGATTTCGATGTCTTACAATCGCGATAGTCAGCATTTCCCTGATTGTCGGTATTTTAGTGCCGAACATAGAGTTTGTTCTTGGTATTGTGGGATCAACGATTGGTGTGATGATTTGTTTAATATTCCCAACAATATTTTTTATCTCTATAAGCAGCAAAAATACTAATGAAAGACTTGTAGCACAGGTAAAGCCGTTTCTCGTAAATCTCAATTTCATGATTTTTTTCTTATAACTTTTTACATAATGAGAATATTTTATATCTAGTGCATTTTAATCGTTGGTGTTTGGATCATGATCCTCGGTACATATGCTAATTTATATGCTATAGAAAAGTCTACAAACACAAAATTAGTGGTGACTAATAAGCCGCTTGCACAAATCAATAATTTACCGTTAGAAATAATTAAAGATGATTTACATATCATCCCTGACATTCCCAATAGTCTGGAACTTATTCCCAGAGCGAAAGGTATAAAGTTATTTATATTTATCATTTTTATTGTTATCTTAATTTATATATTACTTTCTTAATTGTACGCTATATTACAGATCAAATCAATCAACTACCTAACATAAATGTTATCGATAAAACATTAGATTTAAAAGTGGAAGACGTTCGACAAGAACCACCAATACCCGTTGAACGTACGATCAGTGAAAAGCCAAATGTCGAAAAATCTGATAAGATAGCAGTAGACTCTTTTGTGCCAAAAATACAAAATGTAGATGAAACAATAAAAAACGAAAATTTAAACGCACAAGCACAGGTTGTCATAAGTATTGATAATGCTAAAATTGATAAACCTGTTACTTTGAAAGCAGAAGAAAAGATAAAAATAATCGAGGAAAAGGAGCAATCAATGGACTTACAGAAAAATGATAATCTTGTTTTGGATGCAATAAAGAAGGAAGAGTCAGAGTTAGCAGCTGATGGAGATATGGCTAATGTCAGAGCTGCAGAACGACATGAACAACTTAGAAAAACATTGGAGAAACATAAATTGGAGCAACGTCAGATGATGCAGGAACAAAAGGAGATTCTGAAGGATATTAAGGAACAAAAGCAAGAATTTGAAAGGGAGAAACAGAGAATGGCGAAAGACGAGATACTAAAAAAGAATGAAAAGATACAAATTGATGTGAAAGAGAATATTGTGTCAGAAAGTAAAATTAATTTGATAGAAAATAGTAAAAAAGGTGTAAAGAATAGTGAGATTATTATCGAAAAAAATAATAAAGAAGTTTTGAAAAAGAAGGAATGGAGTAGTTCAGACAAAATAAAATTAAATGAAAAGCATGAAAAGTCTCGAGATGAAAATAATAATATTGATATCGCGGTTGAAAATAGTAAGGAAAAATTAGATGTGTTTCATGAAGTTTCTCAAAATAAGAATGTAGAAATACCACAGAAAATATCAAAAGATGTACCAGATAAATTTCTTATCAAAGAGATTGATCGTGAAACACCAGAAAAATCATTACAGAAAGAAAAACAAGATAAGACAAAAATAGAAAGAATAGAATCTAATGATTCGAAAAATATGAAGGGTTCTATTTTAAATGCCTTGACAAAAGGAGTTCTAGAAAGATCCGTTATGGAAGAGGAACTTGCTAAAAAGAATAATAATCGTCAGGCGAAGGAAGAGAAGAAAGAGATACTAATGAATGAAGTTGTAAATACTTCGGACAAATTGCAAGGAAAGTACGATGAGAAATATTCTGTACCTATAGCATTAAAAATGATGAATCAATCCAAATTAGATAAGGTGATTATTCCATCATTGAACAAGAGCGAATCGGAGATTCTCGTGATTCGTCGAGACATTCTGGAGAATAACGAACGCGAGAAAAGGGACATCGATGGAGAAGCAAATGTGAACGATACAAAAGTAAATAGCGATCATCTAACTGAGAAACCCGAATCTCTTGTTAAAGACGCCAGCAATATGGACGACGAGACCTGCTCGAAATTGCGGGAAAGTTCGAAGAAATCAGAGGCAGAAAAGGAATCTGAAAGTAGAGTAATTAAATCAAGTACAATTGAAGTGCCTCTGATCAACACAAACCTTTATTTATCCGAGCAGAGAATAATGAAGACGATTTCTATGGATCAACATGCTGCTCTAAATTCAGAATATGCGGGTATGAATCAGGAAGACTCGAAAGTTCTCAGTCCTAAAGATAAAACTGAGATATAAATATCTCAAAAAAGTCAAATTGACGCAGCATAATATTAGGTAAATTTATAAGTTATTTTTCGTTTTCGAGTTGTGCTTCCTTATTTACATTCACACAATTAAATTATTACTAAGTTTAAAATGCAATGGAAATTTTGTTCCCAGATGAGTGTATGTATATTACAAGAGTATCATGATATACTCATGATATTTGTAAATGGTATGATTGATAAAAATGATATATTTAATATAATTGTAATTGTGTATATATGCGATTTATTTTTAATGACTGCTGTATATTTATCCTGTACACTACATTCTTCGCTTTGCGGCATAATTGTAAAAATAATGCAAATATTAGTCTAAGGTATTTAATTAATTAAATATAAGATCAAATACAGATGTATTTTTACACTGCAATTCGAATCTTCTCTTTGCAAATCATTTAACTCACCAAGATGTTTCAATTTTATTTATTTTAATCTTTTTTTCTAATATTTTGAAAATCTGTATCAGGCTATGCATTTGAAATTGGAGATTGCGAATTGAAAAGAATTCAACTGTCAGAACTAATCAAAACGAAATGGATTAAGGACGTATTGCATTTTTTGACAAAATGAAAAAATATGTTTGTTTAACATAGAGTCTACAATAGAAGTTTTAGCAGTCGTAGGATCTTCTCAAATCGTAGAAAATTATTATAACTAATCACATAACGAATATGCGAAGAGTAACCACATGACTTGTGTTTCAAAGTGATACAAAAATGTAATACAAAAAAGATCGACAACGATTTAAAACTAGAACTTGCATAAAAAATTATTTTAATGAGAAATAAGTGTTTTTAAGAAATAATTAAAATGAGAAAATTTTCATATAAATTACAAAATTGTATTATTAAATATAAATATATTAACCTTATTGAACTACCATATATTATGTGCATAACATTAAATTTTACGAAAAGTATAACTTCAGTTCCAGTCATTTCTTACAAACTATATACATCTCTTTAATATTATCCAATTAATCAAATTCTAATTTTTAATTCACAATTTCCAATACATAATCTGGCTTCATGTACTACAATTATGAATATTAATATAATAACTTCGATATTTTAATGCATCATGTATCTAAAGATTTAATATCCATTGGTTCTGGTTTAGGTTCCGTAATTTCTATGTCTCTACATTTTGCGTGTTGTAATTCCCTTCTGATCTCAGGAGTGATCGAATGATGCGACTGTTTCCTCAGTAGTCCTAGCAAGGCCTCCTTTTGTTCAGAACTGATATCGCTCTTGTATCGTTGCACAAATGTTAGGAGGGCCTGATGCCATAATACTGGCAGCTCTCTTGTGTCTCTTTCAAATCTAATAGATTACATTTTGGTATGAATATATAATTCTTAATAATTTCCATTAAAAATTTATTATTATATTATATATTCTTTCCTTAATTCAAAAGTGATATAACTAAAGAATATGAGATATTACCATGAATGTATCCAAAGTGAACTAACTTAACTTCATAAAAAATTGTAACAATTCAAAATTGTGATTATTAAGTATATGTCAATATATTCTTTTTTCCGATAGTAATTATTAATTAGTCAATAATTTTTGGTCGAATCAAAAAATAGTTTTCTTCTTTTCTGAGAAATTTAATTTTTGTAGTTGTATCACTTTTTAAATAAGGAAGCGATATCTTACCTAAGAAAGTGAAACACTACTCCATCCACTACTCTGTATGGAAGAGCATATTTCTTATCCAAGAAGATTCTGAGAAAGATGCTATTAGCACCCGTGTAATCCATTTCTGCGATTTTCAATATAGCTGCCGAAGAATGTAAAATTGGTATAGAATTGTTTGCAATCACAGATCCGATAATAGTGGCCTCTCTGAGTGTGCATGTTCCTGATTCTAAAAGTGGTAGAAGGATTCCCTTCATAAATCCGGCCGGTTTATACAATGCTTTTCTCAGTGCTTGATACAAATGGAAATTTAGTCTTTTATATTCTGTCAAATCGTCTCGAATGCGTGGTAGCAGAACCAGATTATAGAATCTCTGAGCCATCTTTTCTTTCAAGTTTGAAGCAAATATCCTTGTTCCCTGATACATGGCGGCAGCAGACCATTTTGGTGGATCTGTGATATAAAGTATTTGCTCCCAATTCTTCAAAGTAGGCACGAGCTTGAAAGCCTTCGGTAGTTTGCCACTACGATATTTTGCTAGGACGTCTCTGACACCTTCATACATTGTCTTTATCCGAGGATCCAAATCTTGCAGCTGAATAGATCCAACATCAGAAAACTGCGTTTCAATTTCAGTTTTTTTCTCTGTCAATTTTTCCATTATTATGTCAGCCAGCGTCCTCATGGGGGCTGCATCCTTTGCCATAAACATCTGTAACGCCCGCTCATCGTCCTCGTTAATTTTGATATTCTCATAATACACATTCTCCACTGGTTCTTCATCATCGCTGGATTGATTCTCATCGTCGCTGAAACCAGAGCCAAGATTTATCTTTGATTTTTTAGGCTTTTTGGAATCGCTAAGACCAATTTCGTCTTCTATCTCCAGCTGCTGTTGTCTAGCTTGCGACAAGATTTTCTTCGTCAGATTTGGTGCTACATACTAGACAATGAAATTGAGATTAAAAATGTATAATAGGATAAAAAATTTTCCAAGAAATTTAACTATCTCTAACATCCAATTTCAAAGAATAGAGATAGTAGCATAAAATGCAATTGAAATAAAATATGAAAAAAGTTTTGGTAATGCAGTTTTAATGCTGCATACCGCTTCCAATTTTTCTGTAGTTTATTTTAAAATTTTTTAATGCGTTTTTCAAAAAAACTTAATTATTTCTATTTCATTTCCAAAAACAGAAAGAAATAAATACAATGAAGGAAGTAAATGTTGAAACTAACCTCTTCTTCGTCGGCCCGATGCCTCTTTTGTCGGTTTTTTACTTGCACCAGTGATGCGATTTTCGACCCGCTTGCAGCACTCGACGGTAGCGCCATCTGTCGGCGGCCTGGCGCAACTGGTAGCACACACAAGCAAAGCTCTTCTTCTTCTTCCTTAAATAATGGCTCCCGCCTTTAAGCAATGAAATAGGAGGTCGATACAGCCAGATTACGTCTTTAAAGTAAACCGTACAAAAATATGAAAACGAACGGGTGATGCAATGCGGTTTCCGGACGCCTGCGTCTACGGCGTCGTCACGTCGCAATAACGCGCGTCATAAGAGCCCTAGTCGTCGAAAAGTGCAAAATGTCGAACAATCGAGACGAGCTTATCCGCAGACACGCATCTGTGTGATGCAATGCACTTTTGTTCAAAAATATACAATGGAAAGCACCCGAACCGAAACACGTCCGTCACCGTCACGGTCGAATGGTTCGTCGGAACTGACAAGCAAAGCACGTGTATGCACGTGTGACCATGGTGGAAATGGTGAAGCATTCCGTAGGATGCGCAGTCGTTCATGTCACGTGATGTCACGAGCCAATCCACTATGTCGATGATTACAGGCTCTCTAATTGTACACCGCCACCAGAGGTCCAAGGAAGATGTAAAAGCAAAAAATGATTCATGATCTGTATTTTTTATAAATCATCTGTCTTGCTCATTCTTTTTAGAAAATTTTTATTTAGCTCCTTGTATAACAACAAACTAGAAATTAGATCATCAACAAAAGAACAATTTACATTCCAAATTTGTATGACAAAAGGATAATAAAATATACAACTTTTGACCTTATTATTTACTAATTCTATTCTTTCTGAGCATAACGCATTTGTACAAAAAGATATTTCTCTTTTTTTAAGAGTATGTCATCACAATATTTTTTCAAATAATTTTTTTACAAGTGACAACAATGTATATGTTATTTTATAAAATGAGAGTGAAGTTTCCTATATGATGAAACAATGCAAAAATTTCATGATAACTGAATAACTTAAACTAACTACTTATATCCTAATTACGTTTTATATACATATTACGCGCTCTCTTTCTTATATTAGCCATAAATCTTCCATAAATCTTACGGGAGTGATTCACTTGTACACTGTTGCAATTGTCCACTGCCAATCGCTTGCGTAGTTTTTTTTTTTCTAACGAGATAATAAGTGATTTCTGCGCAATCGGCTCACGTACAAGTGATGTACACTCCTTACATACCATCATTTAAACTTCAAAACTAACCACAACACAAAAAATACTGCTATAGAAAAAAGAAATAAATATAAAATATAATAATTGTGGCCTGCCTTTGCTAAACGCAAAACACGTGTTACTGAACCAGATAAGGAACCACTTGTTCTATCGAAATCGTCGTCCTAAAATACGAATTTATATTTGCTATGTATAAAACAATATGCAAAATTATATCTATGCCTTAAAAAAAGCTGGTCATCTAACCATGCCTCTTAGCATTTTATCTTGGTATATGACTTCCGTGCCAATGTCAATAGATAATGACTTTAAAGCATGAATTTTATCCTTCAGTTCTTCAGTCATCCTCTCATTCTCGTCTTCCATAGTATTGTGAGCAGATGTACTTGGTAACGGCTCGTAGCCATAACCTCCTGAAAAAGTAAAAATTATGTATAAAATAAGAATTTATATATTTGCCAACAGATGACAACTTACCTGAATGGGAACGTCGCATTTTATTAGCAATCTTGATAGCTTATTAATAGATGAACAGATACCGAAGAAAGTTATTGTCTTACAAAAACACCTATAAAAAAAATTGAGAAATATTAAAATCTTTGTTTATCTAGAAAAACACATATTGTAAGATCTGCACGATTAAATTATTTATGCCTACATAAATATAATTCTTGTAACACAAATTATATTTACTCAATAAATAATAATAAAATTATTTAAGTAAAAATATGTTTTCACATAAGTATAAATTGTATTAAATGACAATACTTAAATTAAAAATATTCACGTATAAATATAACCTCAAATAAACGACACGAACATTTGTATTAATCATTTTAAAAAATCTGATCGAGGCTTTTCAATACAATAACATTTTCAATTTACCAATTAAATGAAAAGTGCAGACAGCCGGAGAGAAATGTCTCGATATATGTCAACGTCACGATCGACGTGTTGTATCGAAGTGAAGGGTATCGATTGATAAAAAACAAGTACTTACTAACTGCTATGACTTTTCCAACTCAAGGAAAAACCAACTATAAATCAAGTTCATGCAGCTTATTAGATGATTCATTATTGTAATTTTGAGACCTAATATTAATCTAATATTTCTTAACTATACATATAGTCAAATGTAAGCCCTATTTTTCATTATCTGGTTAACTTGTGGTTAAGCTTAACTTGATGTTTCACCCAATGAGCTTTATCCATGACATCACCATAGATGAAGCCCATTGGATAAAACATCAAGTTAAAGTTAACCACAAGTTAACCAGATAATGAAAAATCGGGCCTAATTGTACACCGCTACCAGAGGCAAGTATGTCCAGTTCTGAGTCGTTCACCTAACAACGTACTGTTCCACTGTTACCTTATTGACAGAGATGTTCGAATTGTCTATATATATCTACTAAAAAAAAAACTTGTTGCGTATGATTCTGAATTAACATTAATTGACATTCTTGTTAGATTGTAGCTAAAAAAAAAACACGTTTTAAATCATTTAAATTTTTAAAATATGAAGATAATCCAATTTTACTGTATATGTATATATCTGATTACGAAATAAACAAAAATAAGTTCTTGTATAGCGGATACTTATTATAAAGTAATAAATACAAATTTTAATTGAAAATATATATGTGTAGTTAACAGATTATTCAAATAATTATCCGAGACGAAACGCCAAATCGTGATATTCTTCGTAATCTTATTTTTCACAGATTTTAGATTCATCATTACTTTAAAATTTACATCGTTAAATTTTAATATAAGACATATTATGTCTATCAACATATTATTAAAGATCTAATAAGATGCTATATAAGCATCAAATTATTGTTAGATTTGCTTTGGCAATTTAACTAAAAAGTGATATTACTGCGGTAGTTATTTAGAGTTGCGTTGTAAGTCTGAAAAAATTTCGGCACGCGATAGGGGAACTACATACGCGGTATTTAAAATTCACACATAATTTTAATAATAAGCATTGTGATCCAGCTTTGACCGTTATTGGCTTTGACCGTTAATCATTGAGGTTTCCTTCTTCTTGTTAGTTTATTAATTATCCGTTAGTTTAGCGTTATCATTAAATTGTTAATTTAATATGCAATATTACTACCCTAATTTTAGTTTCTCATCAAACAAAGAGATGATTAGTGTTAAAAAAATGATTGGCTCTATCGATAACTGATGATACTGCATCAGTAATTGATGAAACATCAGTTACTGACGTTACTATGTATAGTTAAATGATTTATTGGAACACTAATCAGTTCTTTTCCAATTGAGATTCAAGATCAAAAATTATTTCAGCGCATGTATATAAATTTACATTAAAGTGTTATTTAAACTCTTTATATTAATTGTAGTTTAATCTAGATTCCTGGCATAAATAAAACTGCAATGGTTTACTCCAGCTATTACTTTATTTAAATATATTAAAATGAAAACAAAAATGTAATGCTGCATTAAAAGTTTTTCTCATCTGTGACCAGTTTCAATAAGCAATGAATCTAATAAGATCATTAAATTTTCAGTTATAAAAGGCTCGTACACCCAAGCTGCAAGATGAAGCATCTTCCAAGATTCCGTATAATTATGAGCAACATTTTCGAGTAATTTACGTTTCAATTTAATTTCCATATGATATGCTTCATATATAGTTTCTGCTACCTCACCTAAACATATATATTTTGGAAGCACATAATATAATTTTATTAAATAATTCAAAATTATTATATAATTATTATAAGTATCAAAAATATTATAAAATTAATATACAAATAAATTTCTAGTAAATAAAATGTTAGCAATGTTCTAACATTTTGCTAGATATTACATACAAAATGTCATATAACAAATTAGCATCAATTATGTTCTTTACAAAATTTGATTTATTTCCAGCAATTTGTTATTTATAGTTTATATTGACAAATTCCATTGATAGAGAAACCTGTTTTTTCACTCAGCAAAACCTATCAATATAAACTGATAATACACTATTCGAGTCTGTTTAAATAGCTTTTTAATATTATAAATTGTATATCTTAAAACTTCATTGTGTTAATAAAAAAAACAGTGAAAATATTTTTTTTTATGTATTGCAATAAAGTATATGTTTTGATAAATTTAGTTATTTAAGTTATTCCTTACCAAACTTTGTTGTCGGCCATGTTATAAACAATTTATCTGTATTTTTTTCTAAGGCTGATATGGCTATTAATTGATTCTTAATTTGATCTAAGTTTTTAACTATGCCATCCTAAAAATAAAATATTACTTGTAGTTATTTATGTTAATAAGTTACAAATATAATATTCTAAATTCAACTAAAATATTAATTAAATTAAAATAATATTACCCTATATTTATAAAGTTGTAAAGGTATGATATAGTATAAGAAATAACCTAGTAAGAAAGAAAAACTTACCAAGTTATCACAAATATTTTCTAACTTATCACACAAATCTTGTAAAGTTTTAGAATAATTTTTATCATGTTTTTCTTGTGTTATGTTTTTTAAATAAGTAATTCCTTGAATATGAAGGTTGTTCCATTGTTGTATATTTGCATGAATATCTGCAGCTAAATCACGTATAAGACGTATGGATCCTGTTAGATTTCTTCCTTGAAATGATTTAGGTGAAGTTAATTCTGTAATAAATTTATTTGAATAAAAGGCACTGTTCAAAAATTCAATTGTATTTCTTTGATATTTAATATATGTAAATTCCTTTACGACTTATTAGTGTGTAAAAAAAATTACACACACACTCATACACATATATATAATACATTAAGCATAAACTTACTAATAGGAGAAAACATTTTCTTGTCACCACAAGATTAAAACAATAATATTATTCAATGTTTTCCATTTTCTCTTATTTTAATTTTTTCTTCTTTGGTTAAGTATTAACAGGAAAGACTATAGAGACCTCTAGCTAAAAAATACGAGAAGACTAATCTGTGAAGATCAATTTTTTTTATACTGAAATTACAGTTAATTACAGCTAAAATACTGCATAAATAGTATTTTAATTGTGAAGTTTCCATATACAGAGTGACTTTCTCGGGGGGGAGAGGGAGAGAGAGAGAGAGAGAGAGAGAGAGAGAGAGAGACTACCTAAATAAAAATTCACTTTAATATCTCTTCCACCACGACATACACATAATTTTATTTACTATTAATTTTTTAAGAAACAATTTGTAAAAAAATTTTTTTTAATGTTAAAACATTATTTAGAAATTCAGAAAAATTTTAATAATATATAAACATTACATAAAATTCTAAATACATTACAATTATATAAATGTTACATAAAAATTTTGAAAAATGATATGAAAAATTGTAAGGAAATTTCAACTAGGAAATAATAAACATAAAAATATTGATAAGAATTTAATGTAACCAATTGTGCAATAATAGTTTTCAATTGGCTATAAACTTGTCCAATAATTCTGACCAATACGAATGTTGAAAAGTTCGTACTAAACGTCCGATTAATTTCTTTAGAGTTTCTTCTTAAAATGTGTTTTATAATCTATGCTTTTAAATTGCGCGCGAAATTGAGACATAACGGTATTTAACTAGTTACGGACGCGTTTCGGACCGGGTGTTTCTTTTGTATATTTTTGAAAGGGTAAATATAAAAAAGAACCCGTTCCTCTTAAATTTTGATAAAAATATACTCAATCGATGCGTTTTTGCATGAAACGAAAGAATCTGGCAGAAAAAAGTGTCGCTCTGCCCTACGAACCGAGATATCAAGCGTTAAAGTTAACGACTATTCAGGTTAAGAAATCTGTCACAGCCGCGAAATACTGCGCTGCGATTATATTTTCATGCAAAAACGCATCGATTGAGTATATTTTTATAAAAATTTAAGAGAAGCGGGTTCTTCTTTATATATTTATCTTTAAAAGTGTTACCGACTTCGGCTGTGCACTGTATTACATTGATGTGGGTCTGCGGTTGGGCTCGTCTCGTTTGTTCGTCATTTTGCACCTTAGGTGACGACTAGGGCTCCCATGACGCGCGTTATTGCGGTGTGACGACGCTGTAGACGCAGATTCCCGGATACCGTTCGAGCAACGCCGTTTCCGCGGGCTTTGCATCACCCACCTTTGTTTCACATTTATATTTTTTGACTCAAACAGTTTCCTTTTTGTACGACTGGCCACGATTATCCGGATTTACCAGAACCTGGGCCATTTAAATTTAAAAGAAGAAGAAGAAGGTATTTAACTTAATCACAACATTCGCCTTTAGTTGAGAGGTGAATTTCAAGCAAGGCTGCACTCTATTAACTTGCAAAAAATGGCAAATAAAGTAACAAGAGATTACGTTAAAGACAAAGGTAAGATTTGTCTACATTCTCAAAATTTCTCGTGAGAAAGTGACTATTTATATAACCGATATTAAAGTTTTGATGATGCTGGCTACAAATTTTACAAATTGTACAAATGTATTTTAGAACAATTCAAGAATTTCTTCCTGGAGTTTGTGTCAATGGACGATTCAGGAAGAAAAACTTTTAAATATAGGGATATACTTACGAAGATAGCACACCGTGAACAAATTAGCTTTGAAATTGATTTGGATGATTTACACTCGTTTGACGATGAATTAGCTATGTCTGTTGCTAATAATACACGAAGATATACCAATTTGGTTCTGAACGTATGTATAGAAATCATTACGAATACTCTCAAGATCGTTTAATACAAGGTGTATATTTGATACATAGACATTTTTATTGTGTAAATTTGAAATGCTGCAAACTAATACACATATTTGTGTATTTTACAGTAGGTAGAACTAATCAAATATAAATTTTTTAATAGCTGATTCAAGATATGCTACCTGACTTTAAGGAGGGAATTGTTCTACCCAAAGATCCATTGGATATATATACGGAACATCGATTATTATTAGAAACACGTAACAGAGCACCAGGTGCCCAAAATGCTGCTAAAGTTAATTATGCTCCTGAATTGATGCGACGTTTGTAAGAAAACTTGATTTTACGTTCCATCATTTATTATATAAAAATAGCAATCTAGGGTCACAGATATATT